TTTAGGTTTTAACTCATTTGACTTTATCCCTTCTCGAAACCTGATATCGTTGAATTATGTGTATACTGCTCTTCATGTTTCCTCTTTATAATTTTGGTCGGGTCTTACGTTTCTGTCTATATGCAGATATTTTTACGCAGGGGTTTATTTGCAGGGATTACTTCCCATTACAGACGTGCATATGAAGACTGCATATGGAGATTGTTCAACTACGTATTTTATTTATTTATTTAAACATGCATTGCATTTTATCTTTGTTTTTAATTTTTTTGACTGCCGGAGGTCTTCCACGAAAGTTGCTCTCAACCTGGCGTTGGGGGACAACCTATTACCCTACCTCCCCCTTATCCTATTGTATATGGGAATAGGGTTTTGTTGTTGTTGTGTTTCGTCATATAAATAGTCTAAGTATTATTATGTAACTTTTAAATGTAGAGAAACTCAACAAAATAATATTATATAGTCAAAGGACTATTTGTATCCTTTACCCCATAAAATAATAGCAAAATTGAGGAATAAAAAACCAACTTAGAGATAGGGATGGTATACGGGTACAATTTCATGGATTTCGCACTACACCTGCTTTAATTGATGCGATGATGAATATAAATTTAGTGGGTAGTGGGCGGGTATGAATGCAAAAAGTCATACATGTCGTGGGTAGGTGCTAGGTTTAGGACATTATTCGCCCCATATGCACCCGCCCATTAACTACTCACCATATAAATCTTGGGTCATTATGAATTTAGGTATAATTTCAGAGGCTATTACGTAAATCTTAAGATTTTATATGACATGACTTATAATTTAACTAAATGTTAGAGTATAAACATTATAAACATTTTATAATATGTGAGGAGATGTTTAGTCTAGTGGTCAAGCCAGTCACAGTGAGAACTATTTTGTTTGTTGCAGTATCAAAGAAATGGGATCTGCATCAAGTTGACATTAATAATGGCATCCTTGATGTTGAACTTGTTGAAGAAGTGTATGTGACTCAACCTCTTATCCTTTGGGTATGAGGTTGGTGATAGAAGGGTGATTGTTTGCACGATGAGAAAGGTAATTTATGGTTTGAAGCAGGCCCAGAAGGCGTGATTTGAAAAACTTTGGGGTTATTTGTTGACTAAAGGGTTTGTGTTGTCAAATTATGATGCTTCATTATTTGTTAAAATTTTTGGTGATAGTTTGGTTTATCTTTTAGTTTATGTTGATGACATTATTATCACAAAAATTGATGTTTTTTATGTTCAACATATTGTGTCTAACTTTGATAAGGTGTTTTCTTTGAAAGATCTTGACAAATTGAATTATTTTTTGGGCGAGCAAGTTACCTATGATCAAGATGATTTGTTCTTGAAACAAAAGAAATACATTGAGGATCTTCTTTTACGGTATGGTATGAACAAAGAGAAGAGTTTGCCTACCTCTATGGTCTCTAATTGTAAGTTGTCTCTTCATAATGGTACACCTATTCTTAATCCCATTGATTATCGAACCATTATGGTTGTCTTGCAATATGTTCTCATTACTAGGCCAGACATTGCATTTACAGTTAATCGAGTTTGTCAATTTATGAAATCTCCGTTGGAGGAGCATTTTTATGTTGTCAAGCGCATCTTGAGGTATCTTCAGGGTACTTTGGATTTTGGTCTTAAGTTTATCCGCTCTTCTCGTTTACAAGTCACGGGGTTTGCTGATGTTGATTGGGGTACTAATGTGGATGATTATCGGTCTACAATGGGATTTTGTATCTTTCTTGGTGTTAATCCGGTTTCTTGGGTGTTAAGGAAGCAGCAGGTTATTTCCCACTCCACTGTTGAGGTAGAATATCATAGTGTTGCGTGTGCCACAACTGAGGTCTTGTGGTTGGAAGCCTTGTTACAAGAGTTGCATGATACTCATGTTGTCAAACCCATTCTATGATGCAATAATTCAAGTGCGGTGATTGTTTCAATGAATCTTGATATGCATTCAAATTTCAAACATGTGGAGATGAACTTTTTTTTTTGCATGAAAAGATTGGTTCTGGACAATTAGTGGTAGATAAGGTTCCAGCTTATGAGCAGGTTGCAGATATTTTAATAAGTCGTTGTCAGGCTATCTGTTTACTCGATTTAGAGACAGGTTGTGAGTTTAGTCTGGTTCAACATGTGGTAAAAATATGGTTTGATTTTGCGATGGTTTTTGTTTTGTGCTGAGGTTTTTGTTTGCAAGTGTTCTTTCTGTTTGTTGTTAAGAGTTTTTAAAATCTTTAGGAAGTAAGGTGAATGTTATGAGTTTAGACTCTCATCAAGTGCAGATAGGTTGTTGTACTACACTGGTGCTTTCTGTTATGATGGTGGTTAGTGATATTGAGTCTGTTATGAGGTTGTTAGTAGTCTCAGTTGTGCATTAGCTCCATTCTCTTGTATAAATGTCACGTGGTTCCTTTGGAATATTATAGGTTTATTCATAAAATCTATGAGAGTGTTGTCTCTATTTCTTTAAGGTGTGATTCTCTAATAGGTATCCAGCTAGGTAGTTGGTGTAGTGGTGGATTTGAGAATGTATCTGCGTGGACAGGTGTGGATTTAAAAACTTTTATCCGTCATGAGTGGTGGATAGGTAGTGAATACGAAAACATTAGGTGAGTATGGAAATGGGGAAAGAGGTATCTGCACCCACCTCTCCCATTTACCATCCTTACTTGGAGAGGATATAATTGTAAAATTAAACAATATGAGCGGACGTGGCTTGGGTCATCCATAGTCTACCATGTCCTTGGTAACGGATATAAAAATTAAAATTTAAAAATTATAAATTATAAGTTTTAATAATTTATTTCACAACACCATATAAACAATTCAGCCATATATATATATATAAGATAAATATACAAATTGCTTTATTTATTATTCTCTATTTAATGTATTAAATTAATTTTTATAATTTTTTATAATAACTAGAATGTATCTACTTGAAGTTGGCTAAATTTCTCAAATAATGCATTGGAAAAAATTATTTGTTCGAATAATGCAGTCGACAAATTATTTTGTGCAATAGGGTGAATGCTACAGTAAACCCGAAGACGCATTGAAGTCCAAGCGACTTACAAATAAATTTGGGGGAGACGCATGGAGTGCAATGCGTCTCCCATATTTTTTTCACCAATTTCATTGCTATGTAAATGTATAAAGGGTAAATTACACCTTTACTCTCTCTCCAAATTTCTCACAGTACTTTTATTTTTTTTAATTTAATCACTCAATTTTTTATTTTACTCCAATTTTGATCACTCTACAATGACATGGATTGTTTTACTTCTGTGTTTTGATCACTCATCGACCATTGTTCAAGTTGTTATATGGAAGCCAATTTGATCTATCAGCTCTAGCATTGAATTTATGTACTAAAGAAACCAACATCGTGCTCACATAATTTCTGATTGAAATTGGGTTTAGGTGGGAGTTATCACCCCCACTAATTTAGGGTATAATAAAAATAAATTAATTAAATACAACTACACTATTTTGGACAACAATTTAAATTATAAATTATGTAAGCTCAATTTTGGTTTCTTTAGTACACAAATTCAATCCTAGAGCTGATTGATCAAATTGGCTTCTATATAACAACTTGAACAATGGTCGATGAGTGATTAAAATAGGAGTAAAACAAAAGTTGAGTGATTAAATTGAAAAAATTGAAAGTACAGTGAGTGAATTTGGAGAGATAGTAAAGTTGAATGATTAATTGTGTAATTTAAATTTTGTACATTTATGGAAAAGTGAAAAAAAATATGGGAGATGCATTACACTCCATGTGCCTCCCCCAAATTTATATGTAAGTCACTTAGACTTCAATGCGTTTTCGGATTTATTCTACTATTAATCTTTATTTCACGAAATAATTTGTTGATTGTATTATTCGATCAAATAATTTTTTCTTATACATTATTTAAGAAATTCAGCCACTTGATGTTAGTGTATCCGCCTCTCCCTACCCTACTGTCTCTATCAAAGGTTTAGTGTGTGATGAGAAATGACAAACAATCTCGCCAATGGTGTGTATCATTAACATCACGATAAGTACAAGGTCTTTGTTCTAATAAATAAAGATGCCATTAGTTATTTCCTTTAATAAATTATAGGGTAAATAACACTTTAATCCTTTACTTTTACATTTTTTATCAATTTAAAATTAAATTCTTAAGAATAAATTTAAAAAAGTCATCATTAATTAAATAATATAATTCTTTTATCATCTACGTTTATATATATTTTATTTTTTTTAAAAAATATATAAACGTAGATGTTAAGAAATAGAGGTATTTTATATAACTGTCCGTTAATAAAGAAATTAAACATAAATTAAGAGATATTGAAATATTTTAATAAAAAAATATAAAAAATTAATTTTATACAAAAATATAAGGATTAAATTTTGAAATTTAAAATAGGGTAAAGCATATAAATAATCTCTGAAGTTTTAAGGTGCTTGCATTTTGATCACCCAACTTTTAAAACTTACAATATAATCATTGAACTTTTAGTTCATTTTTCATGTGACACGTTCACTCCAGTGACTGTATTGTAAGTTTTAAAAATTAGGTGATAAAAATGCAAACACCCTAAAAGTTCGGGAAGCATTTATATACTTTACCCTTTAAAATAATACAAAAAGCTGATAACTTGGGAATTGGAATCTGTTCCAAGTGCATTTGTTCCTCATGGAGAAGCAAAGCAATTAGAATCTGTGTTTGCACGTTAAAATATCCTTAAAATCTTCTACGGAAAGCCAAGGCACTGCTCCAGCCTCCAGTTGGTAATGCTAAAAATTATAAGGAATGCAAGAAGACAAGTGTTTTTATATTCTTGATTGAATGTAAAATGATCGAGTCCTCATATGTACATGAGGTTGCCGTTGCTGGTCCGACCAGTTTGATTAGTCTCAACACGTATTTTTAATACGTATTGCACTCGTGCGTGAGAGAGATCATTGTCAAACATAAGGAAAAATGCCAAATTGCAGAGATAAAATCTGCAAATATGAAATTATTTTCCAGATCAAATGTTGTTCACATCTTGCAAGAGATTTCTGCATGTATACAACTCCGGATATGGGATGTTCCCCACCATTCTCTTTCTCTGTTTTTTTCTCCCTAATGTTTATAACTGTAAGGAGTCACAGATACAATGATTTATTTTCCCTGGCCATTAGCATAAAAAGAGACTTAGCTTCTCTTAACTGCAGACAGGGTTCGATTTGACATGATATCATCATGAAAATCAAACTCAAAGATGGATTCTTCCACTCATTCCTGGGCCTGGCCAAGGGACACGATTATCGTTTTAAGTCGTGTTCTATTAAAAGTACGACCCTTTTTCAACTACACTGTAGTCAGGAATACACAGAGGAACCAAATGACTAACCTTGACTCTGAAGAGAACACTGCCGTCTGAAACTTGCTTACCAGCACCGACTTTAAGCCCTTCAACAAAGCCGGCAGATGCTGCCTTTACCACATGCTGTCGAATAAAGCAACTTTAAGTAACCATAAATAACATAATGTTGGAGCTGTTATTGGTAAAAGGTAATACAAACCTCCATCTTCATGGCTTCTAGGACTAATACAGGTTGTCCAACTTCCACCTTGGCTCTATCCTCTACTAGAACCTTGACAACTAAACCAGCCATGGGTGCCACTACAGTCCCAGGAGGGTGGCTTGTGGTCTCAAAATTCGTCTTATGCTGTGTTTCATCTTCATTGGACAACTCAAGACCTAGTTTCTGTCTGAAATGATGGTGGTGCGGTCCATGCCATATATGTATGTGTTTGATCTGATCCTGCAACAGCAACCCCACATAATAGGATTTTACATGATTTTATCAGAGAGAGAACAACCTCAGAATTTTCTGCTCTCTAGTTATACTAGGTAATACCTACGCATGCTGCCTGTCATACCTAATAAGTTATGTTGCTTGGATTTGGGTACAAGGTCAGACATAGTCTGTCCGAAAAGGTATTTTTACCATACATTTGGAGGGGCACCCCTGTACCCTCAGAATTTTCTTCTATTTACCGTACCATTAAACTTTAAGATAATTGAGAAATCAGAGCAACATAGCCAGTTACTAAAGATTGCAACCAGATAAATTTTACAAGTTATTTTCCCAAATTAATTGAATCCTTCAAGCCGTTACAAGACTGTAAATATGTAGGCTTGAAAAACAAAGGATTCATCACTGGAAAAGACCAAATCCCACAGGATCAACCACACATCAGAACTTCAATTCAGATTGAATAGGAAAATAGAAGAAAGCAGTGGTAACCTAGAATGTAAAAAATCAGCTAAAGTTTGTTGCAGAAAAAACATTCACCTTGGTATAAACAGCTAAATTAACATCCATGGTTACTCCATCAGCCTCAACTCTAAAATTATTGTTGCCCACATTTTTTGCTTTGACTGCCAAAGCATGGTCACTGTTTTCTCCAATCTGTAGATTGTGCTACAAAATCATTAATCACATCAAAAGGAAATGGAACAATGGGCAGGAAGTGAGACAAAATAGATATAAAAAGGGAAAACAAAAAAGAGAGAGATGAGAAAGACACTTTGAACCAAAAACAATTTCAAAACTGAAATATCTTTAACATGCAGCTAGCACTTTGGGTTAGTAAAAACCTGAATAAAATAGTTCCCATCTGGATGATAAGTGACAGAAAGCATTAAATTCTTTGAACTACTGCTATCATATTCATTTTCCCACTCAAGTTCCATGGTACTCTGAGCATAATGATTGACTCTGAACGGAGAATGAGTATACCATATGGGAAGAAAGCTAGGATCCCCTGAACACAATTGCAAGGTGTAAATAATAAGATGATGCAAAGCAACTAGTAACGATTCCATGATAAAATCTAAAGCATCAACTTACCAGAATGACTTTCTTTCAAAGCAGAATGCTCCTTATTGCAGAGGCACGCAGCTACCAGCTTTGCTCCGAACCTAGCAGCACTATATGCTTCCTCATAAATTACTTTGTTCTTAGGATCAACAAATAGGTCATCTTTATGGTGCTCAATAAAATGCGTTTCTACATTGCCCTCTTCAAATGCCTTATTGTTAGCAAGTTTTTGTAGGAAATTGATATTAGTTGGCACCCCTGCAACCTGCAAAATAACAAATTATGAGAATTGAAGTAGATTAACAGTAACTCTCAAGAAAAAATGGCATGAGAATAAGATATCTAGTCAAATTAATAGTATGATTTACCAACATGTAGAAGCCTTGATAGAAGAGACGATACATAGAATCATTAAATTAAGCCAGAAAAGACAAGCTGCCAGTGAAACAGTAATTTCATCACAATTGCACCCATTTACAAATTCAACATGGTTATATGAAGAACCTTCAATTATATCCAAAGTATTCATGATACAATCTTCATTTTACGCTTAAAAGCATTTAACAAGACATCCTTTTGTGTTGAACAATGGCCATGCAAAGGTGAGAGGATCATCTCATGGAGAACTCACCATAAAATTGGAGCCAAGTTCATGATTGGGCATATATTAGAGCAACAATTATGAATTCTTTAACAGTAAGTTTAGAACTAAATTTCTCAAAAAATTTATACCTGAAACTTTGACAAGCAATCCTTCAATTTGACTAGTGCTGCAGCACGGTTTTCTCCCCATACTACAAGCTTTGCAATCATGGGATCATAATGCATGCTGACAACATCTCCTTGTTCAACTCCAGTCTCAACCCGAACTGTTAAATAGAGAGATCAAAACAAGCGGAAAAAAGGGGAATAAAATTTGCATTCTTACTTATAGGGGCTGTTCTCAATTTAGGACAAATGGCTACAAGATTTAACAATCATCCTATTTTTTTCTATTATTTTCAAGAGTAAAAAATGGATAGAAAATATCAAAACTGAAGGATGGCTGGGCATTGCCAGAGGGAAACATCTATTAACTAGAATCCTCCAGAGGTGAATCAACAAGAAGATACTACCTAACAATCTGACACAACTCCTCCAATGTGGCTCTTTTTACCATTAGGAACAGTCTCCAAGAGTTAGGTTGTCTTAATTGTTTCATATATCCAAGAAACTGGATCCAGCGTTAAGCATAAGAAAGTCACCTGTTGAAGAAGGTGGTACAGGATGATAATGACGAAGAAGTCCAGTTGCAGGAAGAAATCCTTTGGGAACATTTTCAGCATAGATTCTGGCCTCAAAAGCGTGACCTGTCAAATAATGATTAATCACAAATCAGTCAAGATGGTATCCTTAAATAGATATCATAAATATCAATTTATGGTGAAGCCAAACTCGAGTTTTAATAAAATAAATAAGTACATTAGAACTACACCATAGCAATTGATATTTTGTTTAGAGATCTGCAGGTCATGTTATAGACAATGTTTCAGAACTTGAAAGAACCTCATCACTGTCACCATTGACACTGATCTCCCCATATTACTATTTCCACAATTAATAAATTAGAATATATGAAAGCAACAAGTTTTAATCATGCATGTTATAAATTTTGCAACATCATGTATGATCAAATAAACATTGAGGCTAAAAGTTATACCTATATTGAAGAACAATAACAACTACTACCAATCCCATTTCCAAAAAGGAGCATATTTTAACATATATTGGAAAACATAAAAGAGATAGGTGCAATTTTAGACAAGAGACCCTTTTTAAATGTAGAATGTAACCGAATAAGATATATGTATTCTAAATGTATTTTATGTTTATCCATTTAAAAGATAAGTTAGCTAACTATTAGATAGTTTAGATATGTAGGACTCCTATGTAAAAACAAACTTAATAGGACTTTACGTTGTATATTCAACATTTTTAATCAGACTATTGTTATCAGTTCTAAAGTATGAAGGAAAAAACAACAGAAAAGAGAAAACCTCTCTTTTTCATAAAACTCTCCTTTATAAACTTACATTAAATTTCAAATAGAACATCACAAGAATGACATAGCTCTATTCAAAGGGTAAAAGCTTGACCTGATATGGGCACCTGAACCTGACTTAAAGGAAGCAGCTCCCCATTTGCAACACGAATTTGCCACTCCACAAGATCTTGACCAACAATCATCTCCGTAACAGGGTGCTCAACCTATGAATAAATATGGATACTCTATTACAGTTTTGTGAGTCATAAGGAATCAAGATGGAAAGAAAAAAAAGCGATTAAAGAACCTGTAATCGAGTGTTCATCTCCATGAAGTAAAAGCAACCTGTTGCAGTATCAACTATAAATTCCACAGTGCCAGCACTGTGATACCCAACTGCCTTTAAATGCCACATGGACTAGATATCAGCATTTAGAACTTGGCATTTGAAACTTAAAATAAGTTGGATGACGAAAGCCATTTGATTAATGAGAAGCCAGCCAATATAAGAAAGAACAGAGAGAAGTAAAATATGAGATGTAAACTCAGAAATATTGCATTACTAAAAAAATACAAATACTAGTCATCTGATAATGACATTTGCATACTTCAGACTAACAAATATAAGTATAATGATTTTGAAAGACATCACCTTGGCAGCAGATACGGCAGCCTGACCCAACTGTGAGCGGAATTCATTAGTAACACAAGGCTACATCAATGGAGATATAATCAATCTTTTTGAAGATCAACAGCAAAAGACGTGAACTGAAAAGTAAAGAAAGCAGCATTACCGCTGGAGCTTCTTCAATTATCTTCTGGTGTCTCCTCTGCACGCTGCAATCTCTCTCATATAAATGCAGTACATTGCCAAATTTGTCACCAAATATCTACTTACATCAAGCAGGAGACAAGCTTTGATCAATACATAAAACCTAACAGACAATGAAATTAATCACAAGCATCTCCTCAAATGCACATCTTATTACATTTTCCAACACATCTTACAGTTTCCCAAAAACTTGACAAAAACAAGCAATTAATTTTTTTTTCAGAAATGGATCTCTATTAAGTACAACTAAATGAAAAGGCAAAATTTAATAAGAATCTAACAGCACCTGAACTTCTATGTGTCTTGGTTGTGTAATGTATTTCTCCAACAAAATAGTGTTTACACCGAAGGACGCAGCAGCTTCGCGTTGTGCTCCAAGAAAGGAGTCAACAAAATCATTTGGACTTTGTACAATTCTCATACCCTATGAATGGTAAGAACAAACGTACAAATAAGATGAAAATTCCGGCAGTCCTAACAACAATCTTAATATTGCAAATTCAATGATTAAAAACACAGAGAATAGAACATACGCAATGATAAAAAAAATTCCGCTCACAGTTCACACCGTTATTTAATGAAAGAGAAGAAATCCGACAAGTAACTGATCGAGAAAGGAGCAGACCTTTCCTCCACCTCCATGGGTTGGCTTTATTAGGATAGGATATCCAATTTTATCTGCCTCTAACCTCATAAGCTCAATATCTTGCTCGCTTCCATGATATCCCGGCACCAATGGCACCCCTGCCGCACCCATTATTCTCTTTGACGCACTAATAAGTACAATCACAGCATCATCAATAAGCAAAAAAGCTTTCTAAATAATGGTGGAGGCTACTGAAAACAGTACCTTTTGTCACCCATGTCTCTGATTGCAGACGCTGGAGGACCAATAAATATCAGTCCCTTATCTTCAACAAGTTGAGCAAACTCAGAGCTCTCCGATAAGAAACCATAACCAGGATGAACAGCCTAAAATGCTTAAAAATTCATCACATTAAATACCATCTAACTGAGATGCTCTTAAAAAAAAGAGAAAACAATAATAAGATCGTAATTTAGATGAATTTACATATATCAAAACAAATTGGAGCTCGAGCAGCTCACCTGTGCCCCGGCGCGAATCGCGGCCTCAACAATAGAAGAGCCGTTCAAGTAACTGAGCCGAGCGGGAGGCGGTCCTATATGAACCGCCTCGTCGGCCGATTTCACATGTAGAGAGTCTCTATCCGCGTCGCTGTAAACCGCGACAGTTCGAATCCCTAGCCGCTTGGCCGTCCTCATGATCCTGCATGCTATCTCCCCTCTGTTCGCCACTAGTATTTTCTCAATGCGTTGTTGCTGCGACGACGTCGTTTCCAAGTGAGTAGTAGAAGAAGAGAGTAGCCTTACTTGGAGGAGCACGGCGGGCCTTCGACGGAGGATTGATGCCATTAACGACATCGTTTGGATTGTAGGAAGGTAGGCAAAAGGAACTGTAACGTTACCGGGAAGTGGATAGGAATCAGAAGAAGAAGATAAGCATCGGTTACTACTGTTAAATCATTACAGTGTGGATTCCCATAATTTTAAGTTATTATATAAAAGGGACATTTGCTCCAACGGAGTCCAGAGGACTGAGAGTTGCGTGTTTATCGTGAGCGTGACGAGGCGCTTGCCTGGTGTCTATATCCATCGGCGTTTGGCGTCAAGCTTTGGGCCTATAAGTGTTCACGGCCCGGGTTAAATTATAAACGTATCATTTATTTAAAATATTATTACAAACAGATTATTACGTTAACATTGAAACAGACGTCTAATGTAGCCTGATGTAATAATAATAATATTTTTTTATCCTTAAAATTTATACATTTTTATTAATTTTCTTATTATTTGAAAAAAATCATAAATTTAACTATACATATTTAAAAATCTCATAATTTTCAACAATAGAGCCATTTTTATGATTTTGTCAAGTTAGGAAGAGAGAACATAGAGCAAAACAGTAGTTGGATTACTATTTTTTTTCTTCCTTAAAGCAGTAATTAATTAATGTTAAATTATTATTACTAAAACATAATTTTATATCTAATTTTAAATAATATATATTATCAACCGATAAGACAAAATGATATATTAAATCTTTATATCAAATTATAATTTTTGCAAAAAATTGATAACTTAAATTATTAAGATCTCTAACGATGAAAGAGACATTGTGTATCTATTTTATTGTGTTGTTGTAACAACGGTGGCGACAATATCATTTTGATATTGGCAAAGGATGCTTCGATTATGAGTTCGATGTACTCGGTTACGGTGGATGACACAACTCAGGCAAACAAGAAAGCTCGCTCACTGATTAAGATTCTCCACAAGTTCCATAAGCTCATCTAGACAAGGGCGTCAAACATTTACACAAGAACAATTCTTTCAAGTTTGCTAACATTAATCAATGATCCTTTCCATTATTTTTTTTGTCTTTTTTGTTCTTAAGGTTTTGCCTTGACAAATTTAAATTAACCTAGGTCGCACACCTGATTGTGGTAGGTGAATCTCTTAACAGATATTTTCTGTATACATAAGAACTTGAACTCGAGATATGATTAAACGATATCAAGCATATTATTTTTAATTAAACTTTAATTGTTTAAGATTTGAATAAAAAACCTTAATTATTTTTAATTTTGTTAAAATTAATTATTTTTAATTTTGTTAAAAGATAAGATGATGATTTGAAAAAGAAAATATTAATGGAGAAATTATATAGAAAAAGTAGATTATGTGTATTATTTTTTTAATTGATAGAGATTATCGATTATATGCCAAGAAAGATCCATGGAATAATTTTTCTTGAAATTTTCTTTTATAAGTAGTTTGGCCTTTGATTATTTTTGTACAATTTTGAAATAATGATGGGATATTTTACTTATACATTAAAGAGTATCTAACCTATTAAGATTTATATTTTAAATTTTGATTGATGCAAATTCAAATATTTGATTAAGGATTCATTTATATTAAAAGATTTAGGGCCTAAATTGCTAATCGAAGCCAAATTCAAGGACAAATTTGCAAATCAAAGCCAAAGTAGAGGGCCAAATTGCAGCTGAAAGACAAAGCCAGGGGCCAAATTGCTTATTAAAGCTTAAATCAAGGGGCAAAAGACACACTAACCCAATAAATAAATAGAGTTACCAGCTTTAAGTTCATTAAAAATAATGGGGATAGAGATACAATCTTGTTTGTTCTGGGGTAATTATGTATAATTTAAGGTTAAGGAAAGATGCAATTGAAAATGTTAAATTTTTTTAACATTATGTAACTTAAAATATTATTTTTTTGTAATATTTTTAATTGAACAAAAAATATTATAAAGAAATTAATATTTTCAGTTGCCAATAAAAATATTTAAAAATTAATATTTTAAATTTTATAAATAATAAAAAAATAATATTTTAATTACGTTGAACCGAAAATATTAAATTTTTTTAACATTTCCCTTTGTTTTACGTAACGAAATCGAAACAAACTGTACTGCTTAAATGTTTTTTGGGATTTTATAAGATATAGCGGGGTCAATATCGTAAATAGACAATGACTCCTACTGAATTACGGGAATTAAAAGTACAATTGCAAGAATTGGTAGATCGGAGTTTCATAAGACCGAGTGTGTCACCTTGGGGTGCAACTGTGTTGTTTGTGAAAAAGAAGGATGAGTCTATGCGATTATGCATTGATTATCATCACCTGAATAAGGTGACAATGAAGAATAAATATCTTCTCCCAAGGATCGATGATCTTTTTTAGCAGTTAAAAGGCACACCAGTGTTTTCTAAGATTGACCTTTGATCTGGTTACCATCAGTTAAAGATCAAAGAGAAAGATATTTCTAAAATGACTTTCAGGACTCAATACGACCATTATGAGTTTGTCGTGATGACGTTTGGATTAACTAATGCTCCTGTAGCATTTATAGATTTGATGAACCAAGTATTTCATCCATATTTGGATTAATTTGTCGTTGTATTTACTGATGATATTTTAGTATATTCTAAGACAAAGAAAGACCATGATACTCATCTTTTAATTGTTCATCAGACTCTTCGAGATAAAAAGCTTTATGCCAAGCTGTCAAAGTGTGAGTTTTGGTTGTCAGAAGTTGCTTTTCTTGGCCATGTTATTTCAGCAGAAGGGATAAGAGTGGATCCCAAGAAAGTACAAGCTATTGTTGAATGGAAAACTCCAAAGAATATTTCTGAAGTTCGAAGTTTCTTGGGACTCGCTGGTTATTATTGAAATTTCGTGAAGAGCTTCTCGATGACCACCTCCCCACTTACCAAATTATTGAGGAAAGATGTGTCATTTATTTGGACTGATGAGTGCCAAGAAAGCTTTGAGGCGCTAAAGAATATTTTGGCAGAAGCTCCAGTATTAGTGCAACGAGAATCGAAAAGGACTATGTAGTATATAGTGATGCATCTCATAATGGTTTGGGATGCATATTAATGCAAGAAGGAAAAATTGTGGCTTATGCTTCAAGGCAACTTAAGTCACATGAAATGAATTACCCTACTCATGATTTAGAATTGGAAGCAGTTGTGTTTTCTTTGAAAATGTGGTGTCATTTCCTATATGGTGAAAGATGTTACATCTATACCGATCATTAAAGTTTGAAGTATATGTTAACGCAAAAGGGGTTGAACTTGAGACAAATAATATGGATTGAGCTTTTGAAGGATTATGATGTAATCATTGATTATCATCCAGTAAAAGCTAATATAGTAGCTGATGCTTTAAGTCGTTAGACATTTTTTTCCTAACGAGCTTTGGATGCACGGTTGTCATTAAAGGAGAATGAAGTGTAATTGCAGAGTTGAGCCTACTTTATTGGAGCGAATAAAGGATCTTAAAAGAAAGGATAAAAAGTGCATGCCAAGAATTTAACAAGTAGAAAAATGTGAAACCAAAGATGATATGAACCCGGTTGTAAGTTCCGAGTCATATATGTTGTTGCCCGATCCTGATTCCAGTAAGAAATGAATTATGCGATGTTTGAACTCTATAATTGCATAAACAAATAAGTAAGATGGAAAATGATAAAATAATATTAATTATGAAAGGATGAAAGGTTGATTTTTGTTTTTTGAGAGTATGAGTGATGAATATTGTGGTTAATTAAAATAATGGAAATATGGTGAATGATAGTGGTGGTGGCGTAGGCTATGTAGGTTTGCAAAGGATGACAGATTGTGACCCGCTAGATATATGGAGCTAGGAACCAACAATATAAAAGAATAAAAATGAAGCGGTAGAGGGTGGAACGTGACCCACTAGCTATAGAAGAGCTACGAACCAATGTTATAAACAAATGGATGGATGAAGACCACAAGACTAACTTGAAGTCGATAGAGTTGTTCAAAAGAACTACAATGAAAGAAATCTTTCAAGAAGTATTTTATAAGCAAAATTGTGTGTTTACAAATGATCCTAAGGTGCCTATTTATAGTGTTTCTAGACAACACATGAAAAGTCACACAAAGGAGATGAATGTTTCATCTTAATGGTGATGAATGCTTATGAATGCATTATTTCTTCTCTTCTCCTTTAGTGGTTGAATATTATAGAGAGTATAGGACTAATTTGGACACTTTTGAGGCTGAATGGAGAAACAATTTCGTCCAAAGGGGTGGATGACTCTTGCGCTTCTTTGGCTTTCTCATTCATTAAAGAAAGGGGGATGAATGTGGACACTTGATGTATGTAGACAATTATACATCTAAGGGGAAGTATCTCTTGGAATTCCATGCTCATCCTCGTGCCATTTATCCTTCTTGAATGTCATAAAAGTATGCATTAAGAAGGCCTTCATTGTATGTCTCCTTGTAGAATGTGGAAATGCCTCTCCTTGGTTCAAGCACTTCATTGTATGCATTTCCCGTAATGAAATTTCAGCCTGCATTGTCTTTGGTAAAATGATCGTATCTCAAGCTCCCGATGTCGGATTGAGGTGATTCAAAAGTATTTATAAATCCAAGAGAAAAATAAATAACATCCAATTGATTTCAGCACCAAAACACGTTTGTAGATATTCATGCACCTTGACACAATAGTAGTAGATATTCTTGCTTTTGATATGATTGTTCATCTTCTTTCATGCACCTTGACACAATAGTAGTATATATTTATGCTTGAATAAAATTAAGAAATAAACATGTCAAGCAAATATTAAAAGAGATAGTTTAATTAATGAACTAGTTTAACAAATGAACTAGTTTAATGAATGGATTAGTTTGATTAATGAACTATTTTGATCAATGAAGTAACTTTATTCAATAAACTTGCTTACTTAAATAAAATAGATTATTAAATGAACTAAATGCATGAATGAACTACTTCCCTTAATGAACTATAAGCTTAAATGCAATACATGCTTTAATGAACATCATGCTTATTGAATGCAATGAATATTTATATAAACTTTAATTTCTCATGCAAATTCATGCATAAGTAAAATAAAGTGTTCCTCCCTTGTTGTTGGTCTTT